TAAACGATAAAATCTATACTAGCTGGTATATATATATATATATATATATATATATATATATATATATATATATATATATATATATATATATAAGCACACAGCTGGGGAAAGAAATATACGCATACACATTTTTAATCTATTGTATTTCCAAATAATGGATAAACATAGTTTTCATATAATTAACTGTACACAAGTTCATAATAACTAAATATGCGTAGAAAACAGAAAAATTGATATAACAGAAATAATTCCCATTTATCCAATTTAATGGCTGAAAAAGGTATTCGTACGAAGAAAAAAGAATACATAATCTTCATTTAATACTTTGTAGATTAGCAATTATTCCCTGCTACACCAACCACTTCTTGTGGTTCTCTATTAATTATTTGCAAATTTTAGTTGGTATTTTGTTCCATTCTTCCATGGTCTTCAGATCTGAGATGTTTGTTGGAGCTCTCGATTGGTTTTGAATTTTCAAATAACACCACAGATTCTCGATTAGGTTTAAATCTGCAGACTGATTTGGCCATTTCGGGATATTTACAATATTTTCAGCAAGCCATTTCCTCGTGGATTTTGCAGTAGGCTTAGGATCATTATCCTGTTGGAAGATTCAGACAGGAGGTAGTTCATGTTTTTCAACCGAAATCATTAGTATTTTGAGATGCTGCGGCATTCATTCTACCATCCATTACTGAGATGCTGACAGTACCTTTTGTAGTAAAACATCCCTAATCCATGATGCTGCCACTACAAAATTTCACTGTTGTAACTGCGTTCTTTTGTTTGAAGGCATTGTCATCTTTCCTCCACAGACGATTTCTAGAATTACGTCCAAACAACTTAATTTTGGTTTCGTCTGTCCATAATATTCTTTACCAATATGATTTTTTCCTTATCTTTATGTTCACGAACGAATTTCAACCCGAGTCTTTTAAATACCAGTGGAGTTTTCCGAGGGAAGCGTGTCTTTAGTTTGCTCCTATAATCTTCATTGCCTATTGTCCGTTTAGTGACACAGATTCCTGATGAAAGCTAATCATCCTGCAACTCTTGACGAGTAACCATTGGATTTTGTTTAATTTGACGCATTAATTTCCTCGAAGATCTTGAAATCTTCCGTAGAGAACCTGTTCTTTGTTTTACAACAGTTTAGATTTTTTTTATACATTGCAATGAATGAACTTCTTTTCTTTTTATGTGCCGTGTCCTTTCAGGACGTAGGCGATCATGGCCCTCCACTTCGCCCTATCCCTTGCGTCTCTCAACTGGTTTTGTATTTCTGCTAACTCCTCCAGACCACGATCCCCGATCTACCTGCCTAAGCCCGCCCCATATGTCATACGCTGCTTTTCCTGTCTATTTTCCCATCTATTCGCCCCGTGAGTATTAGATTCTCCAGGCTCTCCTTTCTCATCACGTGTTCCAGAAATTTTTATGATAAGCATAAGCTTACCTCTTTGTTTGCTTCCTCTCAGAGTTCATTGCTGCTCATATGCTTGGTACTTGATATCCTCAGCATCCTTCTGTAGAACGATATCTCCGCCGCCTCGAGACTCTTCTTCATCCTTGAGGATACCGTCCAACATTCTCTGCAGTATAAGAGGACAGATGTCACGTAGCAGCTGAGTACTCTTTTCTTTGTCACCATAGAAATCTTCCTGGTTTGCAGGACTTTGTCCAACTTCTGGAAATGCATTCTTGGTCATCCCAATCCATCTTCGGACCTCATCCTTGGTCATCCAATCCATCGAAATGCATCCTTGGTCATCCCAATCCATCTTCGGACCTCATCCTTGGTCATCCAATCCATCGAAATGCATCCTTGGTCATCCCAATCCATCTTCGGACCTCATCCTTGGTCATCAAATCCATCGAAATGCATCCTTGGTCATCCCAATCCATCTTCGGACCTCATCCTTGGTCATCCAATCCATCGAAATGCATCCTTGGTCATCCCAATCCATCTTCGGACCTCATCCTTGGTCATCCAATCCATCGAAATGCATCCTTGGTCATCCCAATCCATCTTCGGACCTCATCGTCACACCTACCGTCCTCCGTCAGAACACTTCCGAGATACTGTCACCAACCTGCAAATCGCATTTTGAGTTCATTCTTTTCCTGGTGACCATGCATTCTGTCTTCTTGTGGTTCATGGTTAGTCCTTTCTTCTCGCTCTCCCTCGATACCTTCTGTAGGAGGTTTTGCAGTTTCTTTTCTGAGTCTGCTATCAGTACCGTGTCATCTGCGTATCTTATATTGGTAAGGTTGTGGCCACCAATGATGAATCCTGGTAATATCTCCAATTCCGTCAGAATTGCATCGCTGTATAGGTTGAATAAGTCCGGTGAGAAGACACATCCTTGCCTTACGCCTCTTTCTAATTTTTTTTAATATTCACTGTGCTTATTCTCGATGCGAATGCATGCCGTTTGCAGCCAGTATAGGACTTTGATTATTCTGATATGTTTCCCGAATATATCAAGGTTGCTGAGCAGTTCTAGCATGCCTTTGCGTAGTCTATAAAACATAGATACACGTCCTTCTTCATCTGTATTGCTCTTTCGGATAACATTCTATGCATGAATATCGCGTTACTTGTTCCGGTGTCTTTGACGAACCCGCACTGTTCTTGTCCTATCTCTGTTCCGATCCTGCTACCAGTTCTATTCATCAGAATATGTGACGTGGCTCATTAGGCTGATTGTTCGGTGAAGCTCGCTGACATGGCCAATGGTAGTAAATGGAATATTCAGGTTGTTTGAAATTTTCCTGTAACTTTTACCTTCTTTCCCGAGCCTAACAATCAGTTTTTTTTTGCGAATTTTTCAATTCTTTATCTCTTGTCGTGATGAAAACCTTCTTGCACGAACCTCAATGACAGAATGATCTGTTTGCATATTTTAGGCTAAAAAATAACTATTGATAACATTATTGGAACATACTAAGTAAGTTTTAAGATCTAAAATTTGCTTTGTACGAATACTTTCCCCCCATTAAACAGGATAAATGGGATTTATTTCCATCAAATCATATTTTTCTGTTTTCTATGCATATTCATTTATTATGCATATGTGTACACTCAATTACTTGAAAATATGTTTATTCATTAATTAGAAATGCAATGAATTAAAAATTTGTATGTGTGCGAATATTTCTATCCCCCACTTTATATCTAGGTAAGATAAGAACAAATGGAATATAATTTCTCTGTCCCTAACATTTAAGTTAAAAGACGGCTCAATACAGAGTAAAGCTAAGTGTTATTTATTATCGGACATTAAAACAAAAAAATAGATACACGTCCTTGTTAAAATAATATGTTAAAAATCGTTCACTCACCAATAATTTACCATTGCCCGAGGAGACACATTTGTAGTGTTGAAACACGACTGCTATTGAGTAGCGATTTTAACATGTTTTTGTTTTAATATCCCATAATAAATTATATATATATATATATATATATATATATATATATATATATATATTATATTTAGCTGTGGGTTTCGGTACTCTGGTAACTTTTTTATCGGATTACTACTGAAATAAGTACCTGACTCCCCTGTTGTACTTCATCTTTACAGGAACCAAGATAGGACAAAATGGAGTATTGCTGACATACCTGGGCTGGCGATACGCAGTCCTAGCTTGTTTAGCTTGATAGCTCTCAAAACCATCTACACGAACATATGAGTGATGGATTGATTTCCACCTTACTCAACAATTGGTAAGCTATCCCTTATTTCCAGGGTATATGTTCTGACCAGTAATATTCCTTGGTCCTACCTGCCATGACGTCTGCAAATGCGACCCCTTCATGCCACGTACACAAGTGTAAACCATTCTCATAGCCGTCTTATTCCATAGAACTGCTGCATTTTTGAACAGATTTACGCAATCGCTACAAGCCCGACCTCTTCAACTCCAGGGTTAACTTTTATTTTGCCTGCATAACATCATGAACTCAGATTCTTGCCTTTCCCTATTTTCATACAAAACCACAAATAACCCTCTATCTTGAGTGGATCTTGGACCTTATATTGGGTTAACGTTAGTATAAAATATTAGTATATAATTTACCGATACGTAAGAACATCTTAATATCAGTTAAGACATGTTAGTCGATGAAGAAGTCTACATAGCTTTTCATTTTTCGGACAAAGAATATAAATCTTTTCACTCTTAAGTTAAACCTTTTCAAACCTAATCGCTTGTAATTTAAAACATGACTATCATCTGAGAACAGACCGGCAGTGGGTTAGTATTTAGCCAATGTGTTTGACATTAGTCTAAAATATTAGTAAAAAAATATACTGATATGTCGGTGCATAATAATATCAATCAAAAAAGGACAACCGATGGAGAAGTTCACTTAACTGTTCATTTTGGGACATATAATATAAATCTTTTCACTCTAAATTTAAACCTTTTCAGACCTAATCTCTTGTAATTAAAACATGGCTGTCATCTGAGAACTGACTTGTAATTAGGCTTTACCCATTGCGCTGTTCGAGAAAAGGAAACTAACAATTTCCTATTAATAAGACAGTTGCTCTAAACCATCAAAATATCGTCGTTCATTTTCTCAGATTTTTGGAAGGATGCACATCGTCTGCATAATAAAAACGTATAACTTTTATTCATCAGAGACCGTGATATTTCTTGCTTAAATTACTGGGTAGATATAGGCAATTTATGTGGGTGAGGTCTGTCCTCAAATTCGCTTCTATATTAATTACAGTGGGAAAACGGTTCCAGATCTAGTAATTAAACAACGGCAAAACCTTTTTGCTTTTTTCTTTTACTATTATTATTATTACGACTATAATTAGCAGTATTAATTTTTATAAACATGGCTGTGTAGTAGGCAGAATGATGGACGGGGAAGCGTGCAAAAATGGGTTTTAATACAGAAACAATTTTGCAACACTTCTGCATATAGCGATAATTGGACTAACCCATGACTAATTCCTCAGCTAACTGAAAACACATACCAGAACCAAACAAAAACACCCATAGATAGATAGATAGATAGATAGATAGATCTGAAGAGAGAGTAGATACATAGATAGATAGATAGATCTGAAGAGAGAATAGATAGATAGATAGATAGATAGATAGATAGATCTGAAGAGTAGATAGATAGATCTGAAGAGAGAGTAGATAGATAGATAGATAGATAGATAGATAGATCTGAAGAGAGAATAGATAGATAGATAGATAGATCTGAAGAGTAGATATATAGATCTGAAGAGAGAGTAGATAGATAGATAGATAGATAGATAGATAGATAGATAGATAGATAGATAGATCTGAAGAGAGGATAGATAGATAGATAGATAGATAGATAGATAGATAGATAGATAGAGAGATAGATCTGAAGAGTAGATAGATAGATCTGAAGAGAGAGTAGATAGATAGATAGATAGATCTGAAGAGAGAGTAGATAGATAGATAGATAGATAGATAGATAGATAGATCTGAAGAGTAGATAGATAGATCTGAAGAGAGAGTAGATAGATAGATAGATAGATAGATAGATAGATAGATAGATAGATAGATAGATAGATCTGAAGAGAGAGTAGATAGATAGATAGATAGACAGATACCGAAATAAATAAAGGCATATGGAAGAAATGAGATTAGCATGAATACATTGAGATAGATAGATAGATAGAAAGATAGATATGAAAAGACTTAGATATCAATTGACTCTGAAAGAAAGAAAGAAAGAAAGAAAGAAAGAAAGAAAGGAAAGAATGAAAGAAAGACGTAAGTAGATAGATTGGTAAATAAGATAGGAAGTTTTACTGATAATTAGAGACAAACTGAATCAGATATTGTATGCACGATCGATTGTGGTTGCAAGCTATTTTCGCACTCAGTATTAACTGTTCATTTTGTATTCTATGTTTATACTTTGTTAACCTCTAAATCAATATTTCTTTGGCGTTCTGTTGAAAATTGGTTCGTAATATATAACCGAGTTTTTCCCAAGAAACCTATTACGTCTAACTCGATAATTCCATTTCAGTCACAACTTCTTCGAGACATTAGTTCCATATACGTACGTCTCAGAAATGTTCAGACATCACTGATGGTTAATCGCAATGCCAATCAATATGCGAGTTTATTTAAAATCGTAACAAGGTTATTTGGCGTTTTCCGGCAATTTTGGAATAGTTATGAAATTGCGAAAGAATTCATTGAGAAAGAATATAAAATGTCATGTGGATATCTACTATATGGATATAAGTTTAGCCCGAATTCTGAAAAAGCGTTCTAGGAATAATACAAATAATTCTAAAGCTGAAATCCCGCATAATTTGCACGTATACACAAATAATTATATTCGGCTTACATATAAAGTTTCGCGTGAGAAGTCCACACGAGATGAAAAATAAAGCCTGACCTCGCCGTTCCCATGAAGCGGCAAAACGAAACGGTGTCCATTCCTTTATTTTTCATGATGAGAGGTATCAGCTTCATGCAACTATCACTCGTGAAACGCCTTGATATTCATATATTTATTCCTTTTTATGTGCCACGTCATTTCAGGGCGTGGGTGATCATGGCTCTCCATCTCCCTCTATCCTTTGCAACTCTCAACAAGTTCCCTTCACTCTATGTTATACCGGAACATACCTATTCTATTGTTAATAGATACAGATAATAAGTAGTAGTAGCAGTCGCCAGAGCTCAGTGAGTTGGTCTGCTTTCAGTCTGAAGTCGGACGACCGGTTGAACTCTAAGCCTTCGGGCGGGGAGGAACCCGAACGAGGCAGCGGAGTCTCTTTCGGAGAGGTAAACCGAACCCGTTTATACGGGTTTTAAAAAGAGCATATTTTTAGCCGAGCCCACGGGCTCGAAGATTCCACGTTAAACCGGTCTTGTGCCACATGATGCCCTCATGGGGGGTGACTAAATACCGCTCAGTTGGATTTGTTATGTCAGTCGATGTCGGACATTAAAGTATCATCACCATAACTAGATTGTTGCGTCATTAACTATTATTTCAAGTTCCTAATGTTTTGTACGTCAAACCTAATTTAGGACCGACTTAGTGAAATACAAGCCTCCACTGTGAAAACTACCCTACAACACCCTGCTTCCTCTCCCAGACCACGTTCTCTCATCCAGTTGCTTAAGCCCGCCAGGTATGGCACTCATTGCTTTCCCTTGTCTCTCTTTCCCTCTACTCGACCTGTGAGTATTAGAGTATTCAGGCTCTCCTTCCTCATTATGTGTCCCAAAAACCTCAACTGCTTCTTCCTGATGTTAAGTATAAGCCTCCTCCTTGTTTGCATCCACTGTAAGGTCTCATTGTTGCTCACACGCTCGCTCCATGATATCCTTAACATCCTTCTGTAGAACCACACCCACGTCGCCTCGAGTCTCTTCTTCATGTTTGAGGAAATCATCCAAAATTCGCTGGCATAAAGAAGGACTGATGCCACGTGACAGTTATTAGTTATTTTATTATCTGATAACATAGCTACATGGGCAAATTAACTAATAATATTGTAGACTCGTCCTTTTCCTACCTATCACCCCTAGTAAGAGAACAGTCTATATCTTACGCCTACGTACGGAAAACTTCGACCAATAAAAACCCTACTAGGCGAATCAACAAATCTCATTGGTCAACGACACAATAATCTGAAAGTTTCACGTGCAAAACAAAATTGCACCAAAACTTCTTTGAGTCGATTTTCGACTTTCAAAAACACATAAAAGAAAACGCCAACTGACCAAAGCAGTCAAGAGACGAACATCCACAGAGAAATTGTCAACATACTCCACGTCACTCGAAATCACGATTTCACCGCGCAAAAGTACATCAACGCTGACTCACTCGAAATTTAAACTCGACCAACTCTGTGGACATCGAATCGCAAACCTAAAACAACTTTGCTTATCCAAAGTGAATTATATTCACTACATATTAAGTAAAAATCAACGTGCGAACGATTCAGAAATATTACAGTCAAAGGTAGATCACTCCATAAGAACTCCTTCCAAGAAACACTTAATATCGACATTTTTAATATTAACGCAAATCCAAAAAGACTGTAAATGATCATACGAATACTAAGAGAGATATACCGAAACCAAAAATATCACACACACTTTGTCATAGTAACATATACCAAAATACCCTGTATATACATTACTTTGAATTGTATATAAATGTTTTATTGGTTTCTAAATTGAATATGTCTTGTTTTTGATTGTATTTAAAATTCGTTTATTTATTTGTTTGTGGAAGCAGAAAGTCACGCAACCTACACAAATTCCTTCTGATTCTCTCAATTACAATTAATAAATTCTGCACATCCCCAACAATATGGCTATCAAATAACGACTGAAGAAACTACCTAAGCACATCATCTGGATTCGTATAAGGAGAGTCCATAGCAGAAATCGATCAAATAAGAAAAGAAGAGTGTGGCTTCTTTAAAGACAATACAACAAAAAATGTGATATGAAAAAAAAAAAAAAAACGCTATCGGAGCGAGTAATACAAATGCAGAAGAACACATAAGAATATTACATAGACTACGCAAAAGCATTCGATAATTAAGACATGATGACCTACTTGAACTGCTAAGAAAACTTGATTTATATGGTAAAGATATTGGAATAATTCAGATGGTTTGGCTTGTTTTGTTTTCCGGCATATCAGCCACAATGTCGACAAGATTTTATTCCTGGTAATATTTTTTTCCAAAAATTTATCTCCGGTAATATTTCTTTTTCAAAAATGTACTGCTGGTAATAATTCTCCCAAAAAATATTGCAGGTATTAAAACCTACTTTTATACTTTCATAGTGTTTTGACCACACTATGGGGGTTAAATGTTTACCCATAGCTGGGTCAGGGTGGACATGTGAACACCAGCAATTAAGAGGTGGTTCCCCGCTCATGAAAACCTCATGATCAGAGGCGTTGTTATTGGACGTAGTTTATCGTCATACCCAGGATGGGAATAATTTAGAATATTTCATTGAAATTAACAGCGTGAATACGGATAGAAAAATAATTGGGCAAGCTGAGAAAAATAGAACTGGTCGTAATAAAAGTATACACCTTCATATGGAAATTAATCAAATCATAAAGAAAAACAATCTTGATAGGTTTCCGGGATGTATTACTGGTGAACACAATTTTAACCAGATAACTTACCCAGATGTCACTATATTGTTAGCATACGCTAGAAGAGAACTGCAGGGACACCTAGACAGTATAGCAAGGGAACCCGAGCAGAGAGGGGAAAGACTTCGTGAGTTGTAAGAAAACAAAATGCATGGTCGTTATCAAAAGCGAGAGTTCAAGATGGGACCTACAAATCTGAAACATCACACAAGTACATACATTTAAGTATCTGAGTATTGGAGCACGGAAAATATTTAATTTTATAAACAGTATATTTATTTTCGTCTACCGGCCTGAATATTCGAGAAATTAAAGAAAACGATCCGCCTTCCGTTAGGATTCGAACCATCGCCAAATTTGCAGAAGAAACCGTCGTATCGGACGTGCTTCAGACCAGACCAGACCAGACCAGACCGTCCCGACCCGACCCGACGACGTTTAAGATGTCCCAAATACTTAAGATTTTCGTACTTGCTCGATTTCAGTTTGTGGTCACCAATAACGACCTGGACAGGTATCTAATTCTCTCAGAATCGACTCACTTTGTAGGTTGAATAAGTCCGGTGAACACACACACACACACACACACACACACACACATACATACATATATATATATATATATATATATATATATATATATATATATATATATATATATATATATATATATATATATATATATATATATATATATATTATAAATTAATTGATTTAAAATATGTTTTTCCGCTACACAGTTCTAACTATGTTTCAAAAATGGAAGCTAAAGCCACGAATTTAATTTTGCAATTAAATTAGAGACATTAGTTCCATTTCATCCTCAAGCGAATTTTGGAGTAACTTTTAAAATTACTGGGTTTTAAAGACACAGCTATAATCCTGTTTCCATGGTTTTTAGATTCCATTTTTGAAACATGGTTAGAACTGTGTAGCGGAAAAAAACATATTTTAAATCAATTAATTTATAATATTAATGCTCTGTAAACTTACATTTGAGCACTATTTTGTAAAAATAAAAATATCTATAAGAACACCGGATTATTTTATCTTACTTTTCTTTCTTTTTTATTTAAAAATACATACATACATACATACATATATATATATATATATATATATATATATATATATATATATATATATAGTTGTATTGATGTAACTTTGTGAAATCCAGGGTCACAAATTCACATCAGTCCTACCTAATATGTTAGCTCTATCATTGATAATGAGAGTTTTGCAATAAGTACCACGCATATATAATATATTGATATGTCACGGAAAGGGATATATTTGAATGAAGTAGCTAAGTGGTTTTATCTACTATAACCAAGTAGAATTACAGTAGCAGTAATCGACTGGTACGCGTCGTAAGAAGTGTAGATCAATGGCGTAGTCCAATGGGCGTCGTTATAAACTTAACACTCAAACTAATGCTCTCTTCTCCTACACGTCTGTCGATATTTATGACAGACACCAGCCAATCACACTCCAGTGAGGGGGAACACAGGTGTACGCATATTCCATTGTATCATATATATATATCATTTAACAACTATGCAAACGTCACTACCCTCTCAAATCATATATGACAACTGGAAAGCATGTGCAAACGTTACATAAATAATATGAAACAGAATAAGAAACATTTCCCTCTTAAAACAACACCGTAAAATTTGTCTTGAGGGGAAAAACGAGATAATAACGCCGAAACAAATCTCCCAGCTAATTTCCAAATGCAAACACAAAATCAAATTCCGTATGCGATACCTACAACAGCAGCATGACGAAAAAAAACGTTATTTAGTATTATAGACTTTCTCCAAAATGCTAAAATATTTCGACAAATATATGAAATAGTATACATACAAAATAAATAATATAAATTAGTATAATATATAATAAAAATAAAATATATAATATTATAATATATATATATATATATATATATATATATATATATATATGTATGTATGTATATATTTGTTTGAAATAAAGACAGACCACGTTAAGATTCCATGTAATTGTTATTTCACCATAACCCCTTTAACAGGGTTCTGGATCATCAGACTTTACTTCCAAAAGCTGAAATGAAAATGAAAAAGAAATCCCACGTTTTTACGGACCTCATCAAGTATACGCAAAGTTAACGAAATGAGGAAGTGAGGTGGGAGAGAGGATATGAGTGTGTCATATGTATCATTTTAGTTTCCTATTTTAACCCCAGTGTGTCGGCTAGATGCTGCTCAAATTTAACGCGTCTCGTCTCTAGATAAAGGTGGCTAAGGGGTGAATGATAAGAACGACATTAAAGGAAGACGTTACAACAACC